CCCTCCACACCGGTCACCACACTGTCCTTCCCCCTCGGTCACCTCCCGCTTACCTGGGAGGAGGAGGGGGGAGGGGGGACCACGAGGGGCGTCGAAGAGAGTTTTCTTCACTTTTAGCACTGCTACCTGTGCCCCTATGGCGGGAAAGACCCATCGCCCATCTCCACCCCCTCCCTGGATTCTCCAATGTTTGAAGCTAAATTATATATTCAGATAAAAACAGGTGCATACACACGTACATACGTCTAAATACTTGATCTTACTGGCCTTTTCTTGATTTATCAAAACACAAAAACTTACCTCATAACCTTTGCGCCCACCTGGAGGTCCTAACTGAAATGTGAAATTCAAACGATCTTCGGTTCCAAGCAATGAGATCAGTGGCCAACCATCGATCTTGGAAAATTCCGCCTCATCAAACTGAAATTTGTTTATTATCAATGTTTGCTACGCAAGGTTTCTCTATTAATCAGTGACAAGCAGTAAAACTGTTCCACAGATCCACACTGCGCCGTCATGACTCATTTCCATGAACTCCAAGCAGACTGTCAAGGAATGTCTTTGCGTATAATCCATTGAGGGGGACGAGGAAGCTGTCAGAAAATGCCGGCTTAAAATGGGTATAAAAACATATCTCAGTTATAGGTGCAAATTAGTTCACCGACTCGTTTGTTCAGATTAGCCCAGATTTTTTCAGGATGTATCTTTCAGAAGGACTAAAATCAACATCTGAAAATAAAAATATGTACAAGGTGTAATTTCGAAAAATTAGTTTATGCAGTTGGTTTTTTGTGGCAAACACAGGAAAAAGATAATACTTCTGACTAGGGTATATGTTAATCAGAACGTTTTATTTTTGCAGAATTTCAACTGAGAATAATGTATTTTTTAGCAAACTTCGATCTTTATAAAAAACTTCATACAGTTTTTGGGCTTCTTGTCCACTTCTTCTCCCTCTTCAAGCAACCAATAAAAAATAATTTGGTGAGTCACCAATAAAGGGAAACTTAATTCATAAATATTTAATCGTACCGATTGGAATCAATGCAATATATAGCCAGAAGCCTACTTCCTTGTTTAAATAACTTTGCTCGAGATGTAGAAACTGAGACTTTAAGCTTTTAACTCTAAAAGTGATGTAATCGCAAACTTTATCGATGGATTAATAGCATTTGAACGGATCAAGCTCTGAAGACTGGATTTACCTGCTAAATCCTTAAATAGTTGTAAATTCAAGATTAAAACTGGACTTACTCTTACCCTCCGCATCTACCACGACCGAGTTAAAAACTATTCGCAGTATGTACAATGTTCAGAACGTAAAGCTTTCGTTGCTTCTCACATACCCAACTTTACAATTCCACTTTCTTTCCGTGATGATTCTTTTTCTTTTTAGCTAAAGACACCAAACCAACCTTAATTTCAACTCATTTACGGCTGAATTTTAAAAATCTGCAAAGAAGTGCTTGTACTGTAAAATTTCTTGCACAGATATTCCGGACGACAGTTTATGGAATCCTTAATCTTCTGGCAAATTGTGAAACTCAGCCCTGCGATCTACAGGTGTAAGTTGCAGGAGAGTCTCCTCAGAGCTGATTTAACAACAAACAGCGAGTACGAATTCGTTCCCAGAAGACACAGCGGAAAACATGATAAAATGAATTCGGCAAGTCTCAGAAATTCATGTCTGATTGGTGAAATGGCTCTGAAAAGGAATAAATAACTGACTCTCTTCTGTGGTGGAACATAAGGCGGAATCCTTTGGGAAATATTTGTAACTGGAACGTGGCCGAAGTCGACCCGGAATTTGTAGCAGTAAACGGACAACCAGTCGATGTGGTTGATGTCATATTCAGCTGGCAAGTCTAATATTATGTCGTGCCCGCCACGATATCGCTCATTCATAGCTGTTATCCTGAAACAAATTTTAAAGTTATTCAAAATTTGCACATTTCAGCTGTAAGTCGCATTGCCATGACAGCATTTTGCTTATTAATTCTTGCAGGCTTGCCAGAGAGTGTTTGCTGTTGGCACTTTTTACCACTTGGGCTACTTCCGAGCGCAGCGGATACAAGGGGATTTTGACTTTAATTCCTGCAGAATTAGCAAGATTGCGCCCTTGTTTACTTATCTTCATTTCCCTACTCGCATGACCTCACTAAAAAATAGTGCAGTCGGAATTCTGGAAGTTTGGTTATCAATCGCTTGTGGATCACCCGAACCTTAGGTCAGATAATGATACAAAGTTAACATTCTAAAATTAGCTTCTGCTGATTATCTTCGTTTGTAGCTTCCAGAAAAGTTTCGTAATAATTTTGGAATGAGATGAGCTAGAAGCAAATTCATTTCGCAGCAATAATGAGTGCTGAACAATTCGAAATCAGACATTCAAAAATATTCCGTTTTATAACTTAAAAACGAAACAAGGTCCGAATTCGTAACTTCTGCTTTTTAGACAAAGAGCTGTGGCTGTTCCGCAGATAGCAGGTCGAAGTGTGACTATCCCGTAAGTTTGTTGCACCCATCCATTTCTTGGCAGCGACTGATTTATCGCAAAACGCCTAAAGGGCTGTTGTGCGTCTGCATCAGTAAGGCTAACTAACTAAAATTAGAACCAAACTGAACTTCTGTTCACCCATTTCACTGAGACCAATATGCACTGATATACTCACGAGTCTGCCGTATCTCTTCCTCGTATTCGCACTTTTACGCCTGCATCGTGTGCAACGTTTGGTCCTCGACCCACAAAAAAATAACCATCTGAAAACAACAAATACACTTTCAAATGAGTTCGGATTTTATGTTGACATACCCAGTACATGAGTACCCTGGAGCTATTCACGAATTCAGCGAAAACTAAATCATTGGCGAGCCCGTGCGATCGTGCGTTTTTGCAGT